GCGCTCGCTCGTTTGCCACAAAGCGATAGAGAGAAATAAACATACACTTCACGAGTTCATTCAACTCCGTCACTCTCTAAATTTGCGGTTAAACTATGGCTTAATTAAGCTATTTTATCACAATTAAGCTTATAAACAAACCAGCTTTAAATTCGCACAATTCAGTATCAGTAGGAAAAACATTATTACGTTACCAATTAAAAAAAAACAGATATTATAAAAAAAGGGTCTTGACGGACGGACGGACGGACAACAAAGTGATCCTATAAGGGTTCCGTTTTTTTCCTTTGAGGTACGGAACCCTAAAAATGTTTTTTTTGCCGTGATTGAGAAAAGCATCAAAGGTTTTAAGAAACGAGTTAAGAATAAGAAAAGTTTGATCGTATACAACCCTCTTTAGAATCAAATAAAATTGCAAAGTAGTAATAAGTAGATTTATAATTTGAATTTGAAGAAGTTGGAAACAATAGTTTGTGGTACAGAGATAAGATTCAGATAGTGTGATTCGAAGAGATATTAAAAATTGTCATTTACAGGTGTCAGGATTTCAAAATAAATTTATAGCTGGTCAGAATGAAGTCATTATATTGTTGGAAGATAGCCAGAAAATTCTCGCTTCGAGAACCATATATTCCAGTATTGAAAATATTCTTCACGAAGTACGTGTAAGGGTCAAGACAGGATATAGTTTTTAAATTGAACTATTATAATAGGTGTGAAAAATGATACCTAAAGTAATCCTACTTCTTACTAATATTATAAATGCGAATGATTAGATGGATGGATGTTTGAATTTATCCCCGGAACGACTAAACTGAAATTTGCCTTAGATATACAACATAGTCTGGAGGAAAACATAGGCAAATTTTTTAATTCAGCTCGGATGGAGTTGCGGGCAACAGCTTGTATAGTATATTAGTGGAAAATGAGTTCAAATCGCACTCACTGAAACTTTTTTGTTTCAATATTTTGGAGTATATTCTAAAATAAGAAAGTGTTGTATAACAATGCATTACAGTTTACTTAAATTCAATTAAGAATTTTAACATTTTAAAAAATCTGTGTTTTAAAATCCAATTAATAGATGGCGCTGTTTCATCCATAAGACCCAGAGTCAGTTGTTATTTTTAATAGGTGTTTTGATAGAGGAAACTTACACATATTAACGTAGTGTTCCCGGGTTCTGTTTTAAATATAAATAGGTAATAGGTATGAAGGTAACTTCTATGTTTCCATTAAAATAGAACAAGTTTAGTCACGTACAAAATGTTTGAACAGTTTATAAATTGTATTGTGTCGTTGACAAACAGTTTGCATTGCTCTCATTCGAAACCTCGTACAAACAAATGCAATGAGTTCATTTCGTTCCGTATGTTAGCGTTTTAAATTAAAGTTAAATCGATATTAGTTGTATCCTTTTGTTGCATCAAATAACATGAAAGAGGCGAAGTTAGATCTTTTCATGAAAATAATTCACAAGCGCCCGTTCAATCACGTTTTTGAAGCTTCTAAATACTCCATTCGACTATTTTCGTTAATAATTTTTACCACAAACTCTAGAAGTTAGTTGGAATGGTACAAGCCAAATTTGTCATTAATCTGCTAATATTAAAAATGCAAAGTATACACCATACACATTGCAATGACTAAACACAATAAATAGTTAAAAAAAA